AAAATGAAGGCTAATCATGTTTTGGGTGTACTATTCCTTTAAGAGGTCCTGCATAGAGCATATTTACAGAAGAAAAATGTTTGTTTTTTTATCTTAAATGCAAAATGTTTATATATTTCTCTTACAATTTTGATATAATAACCGTACTGCTCTTAGAGGGTTGCTCTGTCAATTAAAGGCATGTTTTAGAGACTCTATACTCAAGTTAACGATTAATCGATTACTAAATTAGTTGACAATTATTTCAATAATCAATTAATCACGATTAATCCAGTTGATCGCTTCAGCCCTGCGCCACATTAAGTGACATAAATATTTTTGATTAAAAAGTTATTTGTTTTTCATACTGGCTCCCCTTCCAGGAAATATTTCAGAATAAAAAAGTTCAGAGACTGCTGGAAAAAAATTTTGGGAGACTTTTTGGTGCATGTAAAGCTTCCATCATAGCAATGAAAATCAGTAAAGGTTTTTACTAGTCTTACTTGCTGAAATCGCTGGAGTTCAGAATGTTGGTGAAATAGCCCCAGACTTATTGATTTGCTGGAGCTCTGCCGGTTATGTTGCATGATGGTTTGCTGATTTGCATATAGAGCAAGGAGATCTGAATATGTCAGCCGTTTTCTAAGTGGCTGATAAAATATGTGCTGACATCTTGTAAGAAAATACCATGTCACTGTTAGCTTTATAAAGCACTTGTTTGACCTTTACAATCTACATTTCTCTGGATAGCACAGTAGGTGTGTAACTGTTTGATTATTTGTCCTTTAAATGGTTTTATTAAGGTGCTACGTTTTCTATATTCTGTACAATTTCACTGTAATATTGATCTTTTGTTGGGACATTTAGCGTGAAATGCAGAAGCATAATAGGTACGTTGGGCCTTCAGTTCTGCTGTCTGTAGAATAAATGTATAGATTGTTCTCTATTTACAGAAATATGCAAAACAGGTACTGCCTGGTAATCAACTAAAACCAGTGTCCCGAGTTTAACTCTGTTAAAATGAAGTAGTTTTACAGAAAACCGTGATAAAACATTATGTTTTTGTTTTCTGATGTTTCTCGTGTATCTTTCAGGTAACGTCCACGTTTACAGGAATGGAAGAATGCATTTTGCACACCAGAATAGACAAGAAAGACGAGAGCAGCAGAGAGATGTAAGATGGATCCGAAATTGTTTGTGGTTTTAAAACGAATTTGGTTCTAATGAGTTCCCAATGGACTGATGGTATTATTATTTGTTTTTATCACCTCTATTTAGGGAGGGTTTGCTCTGCTGGTCCAGCTGATGCCCATCTTAATTCTCATCATCGTTTCTGCTCTCAGCCAGCTGATGGTCAACCAGCCTCCTTACAGCCTTAGCTATCGTCCGTAAGTGGTGGTGGGAACCGGGCCATATGGTTACATTACTCAAATGTAAAGCATTTGAACATCCTTCTGACCTTTCCTTGTCTCCATTTCAGATCAGCTGGACATATTCACAAAAGGCATACGTCACACCTAAAGGTGCCTTTCTATGTGGCGGACCGTTTCAATGAAGAATTTACGGGCAATAACTTGAAAAATGTTGAAAGAAGCGTAGAAGAAGACTATATCTCTAATCTAAGAAACAATTGTTGGAAGGAGAAGCAGCAGAGTAAGTCTAAGGGCTCAGTTAATATTAACTTTTGCCTTCCCCAGGTTAACATATTTACTAAGCTGTTCTCTAATGAGGCTGGGATGGAAAGTGGAGATTCTTTCAAATATTTCCTGACACAGTTTAGGTCTGTATTGGTGCTTAATGTGTAAACTTTTATATTCTATTTAGAAAAATGTGCTTGGAGAAAAAAAACTTAAGCTTTAAGTCACAAACTGAAAACCAGACAATTTAAACAGAGAAAATTGGTGTAGGGGCAAACACGGTTTCACAGCTATGTAGTCAATACCGTATTTTCTGGACTATAGGGCGCACCTCACTAAAAACTGTGGATATAATTTTTTTTTTTTTTTACTGGAAATGTACATATATAAGCCCCTTTGGGATATAAGCCCCCCCTGTGACTGGTGCTAGCATGTTCTTTTGCTAAATGAAAATTAGTCCCTTATTCTTTCATTTCCAACTTTCCTCTCTGGTGGTTAGGAATAAAACCACAGAAAATTCACACCTTTTTATAAGCCACATGGGAAAAGTAGCGGCTTACAGTACGGAAAATATGGTAGATGTTATAAATGATCTCTTATTATTTTGAATAATGCTTCATCCCTAAATAAAGGCATATCATTAAGGGAAACCTGACTCCCTTCACCTGGCCGATACATGATTGAAACAACATAAACGGATCAATTAGATACATCACTTATCCAGTATAAATTTAAAAGCACATTTGATAGTGTACTCGCTCTAATCCAACTGCTTCATGGCCAGAAGCCACAGCTGCTTTCAGTTTCTCTCTGAAATCCTTGTTTTGCATTAGAGCAGCAGCTCTCGAAACCCCTTTCTCTGCCCACCACCTTAAAACTTCAGTGGAATCTACAAGTGCTGCCATTATATTGGACCATAAAATGCTGCAATTTATGCCTATTTAGCTACAGAAATACTTTACAGTGAATACAAAGCTGCTTATCATGTATAGTTTCAATGCTGTTTATATATTTACCTCTATAGCTCCACCAATTTTTTTTTTAAGTGTATAAAATAATATATATATTGTACATTTTAGTTCATTGGAACTAAAAATATTTAATGATTATACAAGGAATGCCCTTTATACACAGCTTCCTGGTGGCGTTAGCTGTGAAGGGCTCTATAGAGCATGTTGGAACCGAGCTGATATGAGTTGGTTCAAACCCCAAAAATGAAGAGGGGGAAAAAAGAACACTATTTAAATAACCTTTTACCACTTTGCTAACTTGAAAATTAGCAAACACCACCTTTTTTCGTGGCATGAATATAGCATATGGTTGGACTACAAATGTTTCCATGTAGAAAATCTCCAGTAAAATTCACAGCATTTGATGATATTTAGTTTATTAGCCTGCTTGTATTTTTGACACACTTTTTTTCTTTTTGTCATCCTTCCAGAGGAAGGTTTGATGTATCGTGCTCGGTACTTTGGAGATTCTGAGTTGTACCAAAGGGCTCAAAGAATGGGGACCCCTAGCTGCTCCAGACTTTCAGAGATTCAGGTCATACTGGATGGCTAGAAAACTCTTGCAAACTCATGGGTACGTTCATATGAATGGTGTCGTTTTTGTTCAAATGTTTATTTTCCAAGCCTTCTATACATTTAGAAGCTTTTTTATCTTAAATATGACTCTCCTTATCGTTTCCATCTCAATTGGCTATAATATCCCTTTACTCTGTCTGAACTGGGTTCTTGCCAGATGCTAAAACGAAGCAATTAAAGAAAATCTGTGCTGCCTCTTTGCTAGTTAGGCCTACTTCTAATAAGTTTGTTCTTTTTTCTTTTTCATATTTGGAGTTGATGTTCATATCTCACCTATAAGAAACTATTTGATTTACCCTGTGATATGTCATGTTGACCCACAATATTTTTAAAAACAAATTTCTGCAACTGCTACTCTCATTAAAATTCAGGACATCGGCCTAATTTTTAACAGCATCAGCATAAGCAGTTGTTGCACTAAAATGCAAGTCCAGTTGTCAATTAAAGGGCTGATATGTAAAAAAAAAAAAAAACGGGGGTATTGGCCTAATTTCAGCATAACTGGAACAATGTTGATGAGCCCTGGTGAGAACCTTGGTAAACTCAGCAGCAAGCAGTCCACTCTAGATATTGATGTCAGCTTTGTTTTTCAAAGGACAGACGTCGTCTGATACGTCATTCTCATGGATTGCCTATCTTACGCAAGGGTTAGGTACTTGGGAAAGAGTTGATTGTTATTTTTTAAGATATCAATGCTTCATTTATCGTAGATTTGTTTACAGACCCATAATAGTTTAGTGTCTTGCTAATTGTAAATGTAAAGTGGAATTCTACCTTGTTAAATCATCCACGGGTACCTTGAAATAATTATAGTAAAAGATCTAAAAGAAATAAAATTATCTATCAAATGCAACAAAAAACAAACATTTAGCATTTTATTTTTACTTTAAAAAAAATCTTTGACCCGGATATTATATATATTTTGCATAAAATTCTTTATATGGATATCTGTTGAGTTGCAAGAAGTACTGTGTAATTGGAAAGCTGAGTTTAAGGAAAAAATAGTGCTAAAAGATATCTTTTTTTGTCTTTTAACGCTTATAGAGAACATTGCTGTTACTGTAACAAAATATCTAACTATTCCTTGTGTATTTGTTTTGTTTTTTTCTTTTAGTTCGTCGGTCCTTGAATCTAATGGGAAGAAATCAATCTGAGCCCTCTGTAATTGGAGCATATTTCTGCAGCAAACCAAGAGAATCTAAACAAGCCTTACACTCAGTGTGCAGAGGGGCCTCTTCAGGGGACCTCTCCACAGCTCGATTCACTTCCTGCAGAGCTGCGAGAAGCTTTGAGCTGCCTGCTGACATTTTACTTCCTCTCCTGTTTTAACCAGTGCTGACGGACATCATGGTGGAAAGTGACCGAGTTATCATCTTTTGGAATGATAAAGACGACTGCTGAGATTAGTTTCCTCTGCCCTGATGTTTTGATTAGAAACCTGAAGGCCTTTCTCATAGACAAGACAGTCTGAGCCACTCCAGAAGGGGGCAGTGTGTAATTTTTATAGTTCTTACCAATGTAAATACTCATTTTACTTAACAGTGCAGGGGAGGGTAGTCCTTTACAAAATTGTTTTGTGAATTTGCTTGTAGCCTGTTGGATCATAACTAGTATAAAATGTTGCACAGATTAAAGTAAAGCATATTTATTAAATTAACAAGCTGAAATTCTATACATTTGAATAAAAGTTGTCCAATGATTGACTGGAGTTAAACTCATTTACACGGTGTTTGCTTTTGATTTTGTGTGTGAAATTAGCTGATATGAGTTAGTTCAACCCCAGAGGGTAGATCCATACAGCTTTAAATAGATAACTTCTAATGTAATAGGTCTAAAGGTTTTAGATCCTTCCAGAATGTGACACTTTTACAGACCCCTTGATGAGATGGGGGTCCTTGAAGGCTGAGTTGAATAAGGAACAAAGGAAAACCTTACAAACCTATTCCTAACAGCATATGTATGAACAATAAACAAGACATCAAGCATTAATAAAAATAATTTATTCTCTTTAAGATACAAAACCGTTTCCGGCGGTAATATTTCATACTACATTCCCTTTAAAACGTGGACATCCACATTCATATAAAAGATTTATGTTCACTAGTCTTCAGTCACCTGCAATCAGGTGACAAGCTGCCATAAGATAAAGAGTTAGGTCCTTTGATCTACCACATATTACAAATGTGTTAGGACCTTATTTCTTTTCTAAATGAATATACAGTACAGGTAGGTGTAAAATAAAAAAAGTTCGGTTGATCTAATAAGACACATTGGTACGGCAGGAGTTAGCAGCACTCTTCAATTAACAGTTCTCCTGAAGTGTAGAGTTTCCTCCTGATGGCCCTGAAGCTGCTGCTCAGCCTCAGGTTTCTGTGGTGCCTTGGAGACATAGCAGATGGAGGCTTGCCTCCTTTGAAGAGCTTCTGAACTTTAGGCCAGAGTCCTCCAGACTCCAGCCTCAGCACCAGAGTCACATGAAAAGTCGGGACCAGGGTGGGATCCACTGCTATTTGATCCACAGTGCACAGCAGGCCCTGGTCGCTCCTGTCCACGCACAGGTCTATCACGGCTCCCCTCAGTCCACAGGGTTCATTGACGGCCAGATGGAGCAGCTCTTGGCTTATGTTGTGTATCAAACAGTCGGGGATGATGAGTTTGGAGCAGCACAGGATGGATGATGCATTGTTAAGGCTTTGTGTGATTGTGGACACCACCTCTGCAGCCAGGGTCTCCTCAAGGGGGAAACAGAAGCTATTCTCTGACTCTGACAGGGATAAGTCTGCCACAGATCCTGGAACAAACATATAAAAGCATTAAAATATGGTCTAAATATGCAACTTCATGTTTTCATAGACTGTAAAAAAAAAAATAATAAAATAAATAAATAAATAAACTCCACTCACCAGATTCACTCCTGTAATCCTGATCTGCAGAGGCCCTCTGGTTGATCCCTTTCAGCTCAGTGAGCCTCTGCAACAGATTGCTCCAGGACAGCCTCTGGGAGACCCCGTCCTCCGCTGGAGACGGAGGAAAACTGCCATCCAGGGATTGGTTGCAAGAAAAAGACATTTATAAAACAAATGCCTTATTTCTATGAGGAGAAAAAAGTGCGGCGCTTGGATTGCACTCAAAAAGCATTAAAAAAGTGCGGTGGTCCCTCTCACAGTTGGTCCCTCTCCTGCTCCTGAGCTGGATCAGCTGGAAAACACACTCTCAAACAATGGGACAAAGCTTTAAATACCTCCTGAAGTAGGCCCCGCCCAACTGTTTTCACAGCCAATCAGATTTTAGCTCACGTCCTCAACGCTCTAGTCTGCCCGGTTACATTTGTTATCCCTTTGTGACACCTTCCCCCACAGCTGAGAAGCAAACGACCCCCTCCAAACTCATTTTCATGAGTAACTCTTAATCACATATTAGTTGGGAGTTAATCAGCGTTACAAAGCAAATATATGATTGCTGCTTACTTTAGATTCTGCAACACAGAAACATTGCTACACCGAGCGAGACAGTAAAAAAACACGATGAAACAAGCAGCTGATGAATCAATTGTTGTGAAAAGCCAAGCGAGGCACGTTTTGCACGTAGGGCTCGTCTTTTTGTCAACAGTCAAAAGGGGGGATGCGCGTCACTTTGGCAAATTTTAACCTTAAAGAAGCTAAACTGCAAGTTTCCAAACGGCCCTGAAGTAAAACATGCGTCATATGTTGAGTTAACAAGAAATTCAAAAGCTACTACCAGGGTAAAATAGGCCTGTTCTAGAACAAATGCAGATCTTTCTAGAAAACAAGATCTGCTGTCTGTATGGTAAATACATTTGGAATGAATTGCAGTTTTTATTTGTTTGTTAAAATAAAACATTAATAGGATACATGGTTTATTAAACTACCGCTTAGCAAAAAGTAGTTTATTCAAGTATACTAAAAGTGCACTAATTTCATACTTAAAATCAGGCAGTGTACTTAGAGTTTACTTCATCTAAACTATATTTCATATACTTAACAATAGTATAGTTTACTTTATTGATTACTAAAGTATACTTTACTAAACTTAAAAATGTCCCAGTTTAGTTTGAAGAAATATTACTTTAGTAATACGTCATGTACATTGTTCGGTATACTTTCTAAACTTATACTTAAGTATTCTCAATAGAATTTACTTCGAGTGTACTACTTTTTGCTAAGGCACAGGCAACTAAACTGAAGGATAACCCCTCTGGTTTCTCATGCATGCACATAAACTTAAACCATCCCCCCCTTTCAAAAACAAAAAAAGACTTGATTTCTCCTGTTTCAATAGATGCCTGGCAGAGGTGTAGCCAGAAATTTTTTATAAGGGTGGCCAGGCAATAACCAATGCACACGTATTTACCGGTATTTAAACATCCGTAATTTCTAAATAAAAGGCATAATGGATAAAACTACTTGTATCAATAAAAATTCTGCATAAGATTGATATTGACAAGCACTAATATCTACATAAATTGATTATTTGATAAGTTTTTATTAACATTTTTATTTATCTTTGATTTAACTGAAGGCTCTAGATGACTTCCAGAGACACATCATTTTCTCTTTACCCCATATAACACAAAATCTAGTTCTGAAAAGAGCATGAATTTTGTACTTATCATCTTTTATGTTAGTATATTGGTGTGTATAATTAACCACAAAAAAAATGTTTTGAATAATTCACTTGAGAGTATTACTGTTGCCACCGTCTTTATTAGAGGGGGAAAAATGCTAGGGGTGGCCAATGATTGGCTAAGGGTGGCCATGGCCACCCCTGGCCCCCATCTCCCTGTTGCCTGGTTTACTTTAACTGGATTTCCCTGCAGCTTTCACATTATTTATTTAAATCTTTGTAGACTTTTTCATAGTGGTGGTGGGGGGGTTCTAAGGTGCTGTAAAATCTGTCTGCCCACTGTTGTGGCTAACAATTACAGACCTTTTTTCTCACTTTCTTTATTGGTGAGTTTTATTGGTGAGACATTTTTTACCCAGTCTTGTTCTCTTAGTTCTTAGTTTAATCATAAACACTGATATTACCTGTGGCAATTGAGGCCTACATGGCTTTAAAATTGGGTTCTTGAGTGACCTATTGAGAGTCTCTCATGGATAATCCTGGTTGGCTGCTTAGTCCTCGGAAGGTTCACCACCATTTTATGTTTTCTATGTAGATACTTTTTTACCATCTTTTTACCATCTGTTTTTCTTAAATGAACAAGGAGAGGGGGGTTGATGTTGAGTGATGTTTAGCAAGGTAATTACTCCCTGTAGGCTTGTGACCAGGCAATCTGGTTTTCTAACTGGATGTGTCATATAGGTATGGCAAATAGTCTGCTTCCAAAAAAGCCAACACCACATCTGTATGCATCATGTTTGTCAAACAAATTTCCAGTAAATCCTATAAAATAACAGATCAATGGACTTTAGCTTAGTATAGTTTCATCATGAAGACTTAAAATAATTGATAGCTATAACTTTATTGATCTCACAATAGAGAAATTCACCTCTGCATTTGACCCATCCCCTTGAGGTGCGGTGGGCTGCCATTGTGCGGCGCCTGGTGAGCAATCAGGGGCTAAGGGTCTTGCTCAGGGAACCAGAGTGGATGCTGTGGGGATCGAATTGGGTACTTGCAACCTTCTCAGAGCACAAGGGCACTGCTCTTACCCACTAGGCCAACACTCCCACATAAAAGCAAACCAAACAATAAATGTGTCTCTAAAGAAACATGTGTTTAATGTATAGTTGAAGTTGATTCATGTTTGCATTTTTTAACAGCTCTTCCTATACTTCCTATACTTCCATGATCATGTCATGACCTCCAGAGACAATATGTTTGATTTAGATTCATGATTTAACAGAGGCAGCTACAGCTGCTCCTTATTAAAGGTTTGTGATTTTAAAAAGTCTTATTTCTACATGTCTGTTGTGAAGAATTTTGAATACTGTGGGTGAAACATGTCAGCTGCCCAAAAGCTAAATTACGTGCTATCATGGGAGAGGTAATAATGTTTGTTTTTTCTATTATTATTATTAAACATTGGTTGGTATAGATAGCTCAAATAGGATACAATATAAAAACAAATGTAATTCATTACATTACTTTTAACAGCATTCATTTTTTTCATATTTGATTGGTCTCCCTAAAGTGGCGGTGGGGGTTTTATAGCATTAGCAAATGCCCATCAGGAAGCTTCTAGAAGTTTCTTCTGTAATCATGGACCATTGAAAGAAACAATTTAAGAAATGTGTGTCTTAGAATTATATAGAAGACCATTAGCATCAATATCTATTATAAATATGTTTCAAAATTTGAAATGATTTTGGAATAGCTTTGTAAAATTAACAATGATCATAAACAGGGAAGAAATACGTTGTTGTTTTTTTCTTTTTTTTTATGATTCACTAATGCCCTAAGTGGCCAGGAAAGTAATGGGAGTAAGACTATATTATTTTTTTTTTATAAGACTATATTATTTTATTATTTTATTAAAAAAAGATAATAAATACAAATTCAAATTTAAGATGGCTTGAGTCTTAATTTAACATTTAGTATTTTAAAACCATATTTTCTTATTACCACAGCTATTTAATTATAATAAATTAAGCAAGTTAAATTGACTTTTTTTTTTTATAGTCTTTCAGAACTGAACAAACAGGGTCATAAACTGCATTCCCACCACAACAGTCCAGGATATGTTATATCCACAGAACGTGTCACCTGGGACAGCTACCTTTAAAGACAAAATAAAGGGCCAAGAAATACAAGAGCGGACATTTCAGGCACAGCCTTTTTTACTTCTGCTCTGACTGCCTTGTAAAATGGAGATTTTGTGCTAGATGTGGAAAATGATCCACCATCTCAAAATGGGCCTGATGTGTTTGTTAAATATAGTACTATGAAAACAAAAGTCGAACTAGGTGCAGGAAAATCTGAAGCAGAATCAACTTATTTAAGTTATTGTCATAAATGTGTCATACTCTATTGCCTAATATCCAGTTAAAAAAAAAAAAAAAGTCTGAACAAATATGGGGCTGAAACCTCTTAGTTATTAAAATAAACAACATTCTGTAGCAAAGTAGCAAATTAACCACATGATGGCGCTAAAGTACAAGCTGTGAGCACTTGAATTTGAGTGCCTGGGACCATGGATTCATTAGCTGCCTTTTCTCCATTATTTAATGGCTAATTTGCTAAGAATATATCTATAGGATGTCATCCACTTTGAATGTTTCATTAAGCTCATGCTCTTTATTTCAACTTCTTATTTTAGTTTAACTTCACTATGTTTTGATGAAACGATTGGACAGCGAGGGAGAATTTGACAAGGCAGAGAGAGACTGTTCAACTATTCATCATAGCTTTGGAGGACCATTGATGTCCTGACAAATTATTACTTTAAAAGACACCCAGACCTTATTACTGGTTTAAAAAAGGAAATTAAACATTATATTCTTGGCTATTTGCCTGGTTCTTCTTTAGTCTTTTTGGAAAATGCCTGCATTAATTCAGACTTCATTGGTTCCTATCCATTCAGGTTGTGGCTACAGATTGAACATGCGTTTAGGTTGGATTGTTTTAAGAAATATTGCTGTGAAGTTTGCTGTCTAGGCATTTGATAGCACATCTTGAAGGCATGTTATTTTCCTTTCACATGGTTCTTTTGTTTGTCAGAGGATCCTCTAAAAGTCAAGACTTTCCACTAGCTTTGTGAACCTGCATCACCTGGAGCTAAACTTGGACAGTGGTTCCTGTAGGTTTTGATTTATTGCTGGGGGAAGCAAAAACAGAGCAGCTCTCTTGGGGAGGCCAAACTCTGATGTGTGGCAGATTTTGCTGAGGCATGCTCTTCTTTATCACAGCGCTAACATTTTACTTTCCTTTAATAAAAAAAAAGCCTATACTTGAAATATAAACCCAGTTCTAAATGAATCTAGATATTTTTTTTATTACCATTATCATTTTTACAAATACAATTCTGAAGGCTGTAACTTTTATTTCTATTCTGCCCATTTTACTAGTTAGTGTTAAAAAAAATATGTCCCCAGAAATCAATTGAGGTCCACGTTTATGTAATTTATTTGTAGAGAACATTGGAGAACAAACAGTTTCATGAAGACTAACACAGCAGACAGTTTAGGGTCAATGATGGGTTATAAAACAGGTTTCCAAGCTTTACAAATGGAGGGGCACTAA